CAACAATCCGGTTATACAAAGTTTCCATGTTTTGTGTATGAATGAGACAGCAGAGCACGAAATCAGCACTGGATAAAGAAGCAATGGCCACGCAGGGTCAGCCTGATACCAGGATCGAAAAACATTAAACGTGAAAGTTTGGTTGACACAAAGAAAGTATTATTATATTACCTCCACTTTATATAAAACGGGGCTTGATGAAGCACTTTGTAAAGGCCTTAGGCAAAGATGGCGACTGTTTCAAGTATCTATGTGGGCAATTCCCAGTTCTTTCAGAAGCGAAACTTAAAGAAGGGATTTTTGTTGGGCCTCACATTAAGAAATTGACTTTGAATGAACAGTTCGAAAGGACAATGAGGAAAGTTGAAAAAAGAAGCGTAAATTGCCTTTAAATGTCATTGATAAATTTGTAGTAAAAACAAGACCCAAATTATGAAAATATTGTCAATAACATGCTCAATAAATTCAAAAAGTTGGGTTGTAATATGAGCTTGAAAGTTCGTTTCTTACACTCACTTTTACGTTTTCTATTATGTATTGCGTCTAGAGCATCTCGTTTCAATGACCAGCAGTAAGCAGCCATCATGCTGATGTTCCACCTTCCCTGATACCTCCTCTCCATTTCCCTGATGTCTTGATGAAACATTTCCCCTTGTTCTTCGCTGATGGTACCGAGATTTTCAGGGAAATGGTTAATGAGGGGGTGGTGTCGATTGTAGCTTTGCTGATAGCCTTAGAGCTTCAAGAGAATACTCAACTAACCATTGGACATTAATTAACTCACATGTGAGAATACATGTGTTAATTACAGAAAGTAGAAGTCCCAGGGAACAACATTAACCATTTCACACGATCCTTGTTTGTTTGTTTTGAATTTCGCGCAAAGCTACACGAGGGCTATCTGCGCTAGCCATCCCTAATTTAGCAGTGTAAGACTAGAGGGAAGCAGCTAGTCGTCACCACCCACCGCCAACTCTTGGGCTACTCTTTTACCAACGAATAGTGGGATTGACCGTCAAATGATAACGCCCCCACGGCTGAAAGGGCGAGCATGTTTGGTGGGACTGGGATTCCACACGATCCTAACGAAAAACTCAGATCAACAGACTACACGCACAAAGAAAACACATTAAAACATTAAAAGAAACCAACTGGCTGGACTTTTGCAATAACCTAGAAAACTCTCGAAGTTAAGCCTAAAGAATTTCGGAAAAAAAATAAATCCCTGTCAGCTAACAAAAATAACAGCTCTCTATTCCACCAAATAAAACATAACATTACAGCTAAAACAGATTCAGACAAAACAAATTTATTGGCCGATTATTACGTGTTTTTTGTTTGTTTGTTTGTAATTAAGCACAAAGCTACACAATGGTCTATCTGTGCTCTGCCCAACACTGGTATCGAAACCCGGATTTTAGCGTTGTAAGTCCGCAGACACACTGCTGTGCCACTGTGGGGCGGGGCGATTATTATGAATCTTGTTTTAGTAACCCAAATTCCTCGGATTTTAACCCCCATAATCACAGTCAGGTAAATAATTACGTCAACATGATTCCAACACTTATCACTCGGTGTTTCTCATCCAACAATTCACACAATCGCTCGTCAACAAATCAACATAACCTAATAAATAGGAAAGTCACACTTGAAGAATTAAAAATATACATAAAAATACTTAAAAATTCGGCTCCCTGTCACGACGGGATAAGAAATATTGTTCTGAAAAAAAGCCTCAGACCTTTTTCTATTCACATCACGAACGTAATCAATTTATCACTTCTAAATGAGTACTACTTGGACAACAAACCAACAGATCTAACCCTGATAACTTCTGCCCCGTTAGTTTGTTAAGCTGTCTTGGCAAACTAATGGTAAAAATAATATCTAACAGACTCTTCCTCGTCTGCAAAACAAATAATTTATTATCAAACATCCAAAACGCATCAAGAAAGAACCGATAAAAAATAGACCTTCTCATGCGACTAACGGAATCTATCTGTCTATAAATCATTTAATAACAACCAAGCTACCATAAGTGTATTCTTAGACATTAAAAAAGCATTTGATAGTGTTTGGCACAATGCCATCAGATATAAACTAAAACAAGTGAATATCAACGAATCGATAATCAGATGGATATCTAACTTCCTGTCTGATAGAACAGCCCAAGTTAAAGTAAACGATACATTATCTAAAACATTTAATATTACCGAAGGAGTGTCGCAAGGATCAGTTCTTTCGCCACTCCTATACACATTCTACGTAAATCACATCCCATTCTCCAACCTAAAATATACATATCATTCTGAATATGTCGACGACATAGCTGTCTGGAGCATATCTTGAAACCTACTAATGGTAACTGCAAGGGTTCAAAAATCATTGAATTTAATTCTAGAATGTAACAAATGGGAAGTTATATTAAGCTCAACAAAAACACAAGCAATCGCCTTTATAAAAAAAAACTACGAAAATACATGAAAACTCTGAAGAAAATCAAATTAAAGTTAGGAGAATCAG